CAAAAACAGTATTGAAAAGAGCCTTCAGCACTTATGAGTGATTCTGGCCTGGTGCCGTGTGTCAGCAGGGTGAATGGGAGAAGACCTGCAGGCCTGGAGACTATTCTGGGGACAATTCTTCTGGGCAAAGATCAGCACCACCAGGATAACTCTCAGAGCACTTGAGTGATGCAGAGTTCAAGGATATCAAAGGAACGAGCAAGACTGGCTCCTCTCCATCCTGCACCACACCTTCCAGTTGCTGGGCACCAGCCTCTGAACTTCCAGCTGGGCTCACACCTGCCTCTTCAGCCAAGCTCACACTGGCTCTCAGGGCCCTTCTGGAGTGCCAGAAAGTTTGGTTCCTGTTGTCTGTTGAACCTATGTTATCTCTGAGCTTAAGGAAAAGGTGGAGGCCCAGAGTGAGGACAGGATGCTGAGATGGCCCAGGAGCTCCAGGCTGGAGCATCCAGTCCCTTGAGTTTGTGCGTCACTGCCAGTGAAATCCCCCCCAGGGGGTGGGAGAGGCAGGGATCTTGCCCTAAACAAAAACGCCACCAGACAACCCAGCATTGCAAAAGACACCTTGCTGCCTTGTCCTCCTTGTCCTGTGAAGGCAGGGAGAGCCAGGGGGAGCCAGGGCAGCTCATGCTGCTGGGGCTGCGGCTGACCCAGCACAGGGATCCATCGGCACTGACTCGCTATGATGTCTTCTTGGTCTGGGGCCACTGGCATCACCCCTTCTCCCCATGTCATAGTTCTTGGTGGTGGCTCTTGGTGTCATAGCTCTTGGGGTGGGGGTTGGCACACCTGCTGCTGTGGGCGCAGCAGATGCGGGAACAGTGGGGCAGGAGCTGTGGAGGTGATGGTGCCTGCACCAGGATACAGCTCCAGTGGGCAGATGGGAGCAGGGAGAGGGGACAACAGTGAGGGACCATACTGAGGAAAACAGGTTGAGCTGAGATGGAGCAGATCCACTCCTCACCCTTGACATGGACACAGCGAGCAAAGCCCAGGGAAGCAGAGGCAGATCGCAGCCATCCCAGCCACCCAAAAAAGCCTGCATTTGGCATGGAGCTGAATGGGCGGCCAAGCCATGGCACAGCAACGGGATCTGGGAAGTGCGTGCCCGGCTCTGCCCAGCTGGCACCAGCAGCACCAGTGCCCATGCACCTGCACGTGCAACACACTGGGCACCCAGCACTGGCCCCGCTCGCACTGCCTGCGACAGGGCTGATTCACACGGGGCGCTAGAAGCCGGTCTGCCGTGGGAAAGTGCACCCGCCATGGCTCCCGAGCGCCAGGATTGCTTCAGCAGGGGTGCAGCCAAGATCTGTTTCACAGCGGGCAGAGCAGATCTCAGCTGGGATTTACCAGTGACTAAGCGTGTGCTGGCAAGGGCTGCCCTAGCGTGAGAAAGCACTAGCTGCTCCTCCTCGGAGGTGTGCTCGCGGGCTGTGCCGGGACACATGGCTCCGGGCACCCATGGAGACAGGCACCCTCTGTGTGACAGAGCATGGGGGCTTTCAGACCCTGTGGGGATGGTGGGGGCTGCAGCCATCCAGCGCCCTTCTCCTGGGCAGAACTCACCCCTTTGCTTCAGGTGCCCCAAGCTGTGGGGTGGAGATGCAGTGTCCCTTCCTGGTGCAGTGTCGCCCCAGCTCACACCCCAACAGCATCCTCAGGTGCTGCCGGGGCCCTGCTGTCTCACCTCTGTGAAGAGTTTTGTTTGTATGTGTGCACTGCTGTTTGGGGCAACGGCTAATCACAATGGGTCTGGGGAGACCAAACCAAGGAGGAAAAACCCATCCCTTCCCCATCACAGAGGCTCTCCCCAGCTGTCCTGTGCACCAGCCACTCACAGGAACTGCTCCAAACCCCTGTGTGGTGAAGCTGGGATGCAGGAACCGCACCAAGCCTAAGGCCACCACCAGCCCCTGCATGGCACCCAGTCAGCCTGGCATTATCTAGGTGGCAGACTGCCCTGCTCCCTTCATTTCTATAGTCTCATTTTGGCAAGGAATTAAAAAAAAATTAACTGCAATTTTTATTACAGCTAATTGGCACTGCTGCTAAGTGGCTTATCAAGCTCTGGAGCCTGCCCTGTGCTTTGGCAAGCTGAGGGTGGTAAAGGCCCGGAGGCTTTGGAGATGGCAAAAGGCACATAGCAGAGCATCTAGGAGCCCAAGCGAGTGTGAAATGCACGGCCACCCTAGGCAGCCAAGGTGGCAGTCAAGCCATGGCTCTGAGGGGTGGATTGCACCTGGGTTGCAAGGATGCTGGATTTCAGGAAAGCAGAGAAATTTGCCTGAGGTCACCCTGTGCACCTGAGGGAATGAGGGCCCCATGCCCCATGCCCAGCACACCCACATTGCAATGATAGGCTGCATGAAACAGAACCCGGCCATCCTCACATGTCCTGGCCCCTTGCAGCCACGCAAAGACTTTGGGTGGCTCTGGAGGGGCAGAACTAGTTGTTCCCTTTTTCAGTGTCAGCTAGGAATCCCATCACAGGGAAGGAAGCACCCTGGAGAGCAGCAGTGTATGAAAGCAGCTTCTTGTGCACTGCACTTGGTGTGACAAGGCAACAGCAGACCTCAGGGAGCAGGGACAAGGCAATGCAGAGCAGAAGCACAGCAGGTGGGAGCTGCAGCCAAAACTCCTGAAGCTAGAGGCTGCAGCAGGACAGCTCTGGTGGTGAGGCAGCCCTGCAGGTCTGGCCTGTGCAGGCTGTGAACTCCTAGAGCCCCAGAGGGATGGTCCTGTCCTGCAACATCAGCATCAGGTCAGCTCCACTGTGCAGAAGCTCTGAGGTTGTGCAGTCCCAGGGCAGCAGGTGACACTTGTTCAAGGAAAAGGACGTGGTCTGTCTCTCCCTTCTCTGCCCATCCCTGGATCCATCCATGCCCCTGTTCCCTTTTTATCTTTCATCTTTCAAGGGATGGCTCACAGGCACAGCTGAGCCAGGGCAGAGCCAAGGAAGAGGGAAGGCAGGAGGCAGAGGAATGAATGCGAACCATGAGATCTCCAGCTCTGCCTAGTCCAGGCAGTCAAAGCCTAAGATCAGATCAGACAGTATCGGGCAGTCCCCACCTGTTATCATGTCACCTTCCCTCATGTGATGTTGGCAGTGAAATTTGAAGTGACATCTGCTTTATGATCTGATAACCCAAAATGTTGATCTGGCCCCTCAGCTGAGCTTCTCTCAACTGAAGTTCTCTCAGTTGAGATCTTCTTTCTGCTTTCCTGGGTTTTCATAGTTTCACTTCCTCTGGGTACATGACTTATAACATGAGAGCCCAGAGGGCGCCTGGTTTTGGCATGGAGCCGGGCAGGCTGGGGCCACATGCTGCTCCAGGACAGGGGTCCTTGGGATGCATCAGCATCTGCTGCTCTCCCAGAGTGAGTGAGAAAAAGCAGGACTGGGGAGCAGGAGAAGGGTGCAAGCATCTGAACCACATTAGAAAAAGCAGGAGATGCCTGATGCTCACAGTCATGCAAATGAGGGGAGTTTTGCAAAATTAGCTTTTGGGGGTGATGCAGAGGCTCCCAAGTCACTCGGGTGCTTTCAAAACAGCACCACATCTATCTCCATTTGTTTTGATCGTGCTCTGCCAGGCTGGAGCAGGGGTTCAGGCTTTGAGCACCAAGCAGCATAACACGCAGGCAGGCTGGCTGCTGCCTTCAGCCCATCCAGGCACCCCCTCTCCTCCTCCTCTCCACCCCCAGCAGTGTCCAGGGGGCTGCAAATGCTCTCCTCTGCCAGGCAAGGAGAATGCTGGGGCCACGCTGCTGCCGTGGAGGCTGCAGGGAAGGGGCAGAAGCTCTGCTGAGCTGAGGCCACACAGGGCTAGGAGGACGCAGCTGGGATATGTGGCCCCCACTGCACAGCTACAGTGGGGCTGTGCCCACCTCAGGCTCTGCCTTCAAGGACCAGAACCTGGCATCTTCTCATAGCCCAGGCTGGAGACCGAGTGTTGGTTTAGCAGGTGCTGCAGAGGCTGCAGGTAGAAATCCCTCCTCCTGCTGCGGGGCAGAGCTGCCGGGACATTGTGGCAAGCTCATTTTCAAACAAATCACCCTTACTGAGACAGTGTGTGGGAAGCAGGGGCATCTTTGCACCTCCCCGTGACCCTATCGCTGTTCCAGCCAACACACCACAAACACGCAGAGCTGCTGAGGGCCCGCGCCGGTGCCCGCTCAGGCGGTGGAAAGTTTTTCTGGTTTCAACAGGCTTTGGAGCAAACCCCCAGGCAGGGAACTTGTTCTGGTTGGTGAAGTTATGCACCTGTCTCACTGCTTTCCTTGCGTGCAACATGCCCAAAACGCTCTGCAAGCAAAAAAAAAAAAAACAAACAGACCCTTAAAACAAATAGCAAACAAAAGGTGTTGCAGCACATCCCAGCAATCATCCTGCTGGTTTCCACTGCCTTAAAATGCTCTCAGGGAGGGTAAGGGAAGGCTGAGCACATCTGGCTGCCAGCTGTACCCTGAGCTCTGCCCGAGAAGCCTGGCAGGGACAACCCTGGCCAGATGGTTGGAGCCTCCCAAGGTAAACCAGGAGTCAGGTGGTGCATGGGCCTGGCTGTGGCTGCAGCCCAGGTGGCCGAACAGGGCAAGCCAAGACCTCAACACATCTCAGGGTCCGCAGCCATCCTACAAAGCTTTAGTGAGATGCAAGAGAACAAGTCGTGAACCCACAGCTCAGCCTTTGGGTGTCTGCTTGATATTTCAAGGCAAACCTCAGTTTCTGGTGTTTTCAGGCATCATGTAGGACAGGTGTGGCTTTACCCAACTTAAAGATATGGCACCTCTGGGATGGAGGATCTTGTGGCTTGTACATCCCAGAGTTTTTGTCCACTTCCATTGTGCGACCCCCACTCAATGGGACAGGCTGTGCCTCAGTTTCCCCATGCACGTGAGTGCGAGTGCCCAGTGATGGGGCTGTGTGCTGGAGGTAGTTTCCTGGGCTGTAGATGTCCCAGCCACCATCTCACCACCTTCCCTCCCTCTTTTCCCAGGTGTGCAACTGCAACAAGTACCTGAAGGTCCCAAAGGAGAGGATGAGGCAGCTGGTGGAGGGCAGCAAGCACTCAGCGGGGGACGGCGGCACAAGTACGAGTGCGGGCAGCAGGGGCTGGGTGGGGTGGTCAGAGACCAGGGTCCTGCAGCCAACCCAGGGCTGTGCACACCCACGTGGGCTGGGTCCCTCCGATAGGGAATGGGGACCCTGGCACCAGGCTGTGGCCGGGTACAGATGTGGACCTGCTGAGCTCTCCCAGGCTCCTCCTTGGCCACGCTCGTGCACGTCTGAGCACAGACATTGCCCCCAGCAGCCCCTGCAGAAGAGCTGCATTGCCCAGCAGGAGCACGGCTGGGTTTTGCATGGGAAGGTGTGGGGTGGGTGAGATGCCAGTGGTGGCTCAAGTGTCAGCCTGAGGCCATTGCTGCCTGACTTGGGAAACACGGCTGGGGCTGCAAAATGCCTCCACGCTGCCAGTGGTTGCTAATGTGCAACACAGTGCCTTTCTCACCTTCACAGAAGCTGTTAAACTAGGTCAGGCTGCAGGCAGAATGAGTTAAGTGCTGCTACTGGCACGGGGAGCGTAGTTTGGTGTCATGATGAATGCTTGGGAAACGTGTGCTCACCCCACTGCACCCCTCGAGCCTGGGTCTGCTGCCAACCCTTGTACTGCCTGTCAGCATGCCTCAGTTTTCCCATTTTCTCAAGCTGGGCAAGGCACAGGCCACTGTGTGCTGCTGGGTGGCTGCAGCTTTGCCAGGGGTAACACACGTGGCCCAGAGGATGAGGGACGTGGTGAGTTTTCGCATGGCGCCAGCAGCCTGGGAGCACTGCACTACCCGAAAGGCCAGGGCATCCTCTCCATGGTTTCTCTGGTGAGGGCACTCACTGTTTGTGTGTACCCAGGGACCAGCCAGGCCTGTTCAGCCAGTTCTGGAGTATGGGAAATAACAATGCTGTGGTTTGCATTCAGGCATGTGATCATTTTCCCCATCCCCCTTCAGAGGGGTTGATGGCACCTGGGGGGCTCACACAGCATCTCTGCTCCTCCACAATACCTCTGTGCCCCCCCCCCCACTGCTCCAGCCTTTACACCATGTCTGCAAGACCCCCACACCTCCCTGTGCCATGCAGCCTCTCATGGTTCCCCTGCTGCAGAGGGATGGGGTCAGCAGGGACCCCATGCTGCTGCACCAGGCAGGAGCACCGTGCCAGGCATAACCACGCCAAGGAGAATCCTTCACCACAGAGCAGTCAGTGGCAAAGAAAACACCACAGCATCCTTGTGGGGGTGCTCTTTTGCTGCAATGGAGTTGCAAAACAAAAGCTGATTCACCTGGGCTGTGTCTGTGCCCAGGAGCAGCCAGGTGGGCACAAAGTGTGGATCTCACCAAGCCTAGAGCAGGGATCCTATGGAACTGCCAGGAGGTTCCCTGTGTCTTGCCATACTGGGATTTCTGTTTCTGTTCAGACTCTGCTTGGGTGCTGCTGGGATTGAGAGCATCAGCATGAACTGAAGTAGGCTGTCCCTGGAATGGCCCACTTTGTATCAAGTTTTGGGGAAGAGAAGCAGAGAAAGGATGTGATGATGATGTGCCACTGTCAGGCAGGTGGTGGGAAAAATGGCAGCAGTGGGACAGGCCAGACAGCAAGAGTTCATGAGAAAAATAACAATCATTTTCCGATCTCTGTTGCATTTTCCATCTGGTGGGAGTGGGTGGAGGGGAACTGCTCTGCCCTTGGCTGGCCCAGTGCACCCCCAGGCTCAGCTCTGGCCTGGGCCTCATCAGTTCAGATTTATCCCCTTGGCCCATGGGCAGATGCTTGTCCAGCATCCCAAGCCTTGGCAAGAAACCTTGCACCTAGGTTGCAGGGAACCTTCCCCCTGACACAGCCATACTTTCCCCGCATAAGAGCTTGGATGGAACTGCTGGAAACTGTTTCAAGCCCAAACAGCTTTGCCCTGTGATGCCTTTTTCCCAATGGGGTGCCCAGAACAGCTTTTTTTTTTTTCTTTGCTTTTTTTTTTTTTTAGGGGGGGGTGAGGAAGGCAGGCTCTGTGCCTGGAGCAGGCTGAGGATGGGGAAGCAAGTGCTACAGGTCCCCACATGGCACAGGCAAGATGTGATGTGGCTGGAGGCTGTTGGCAGCATACGGGCTCCTGAATGACCCAGGTGGATGGGATGTGTCACAGGCTCTCGTCCAGCCAAGGGAAGCTTCTTGCTTAGTCAGTGTGGTATAACTGGCTGGCACAGTGCCCTGGCACTTGGGGATACTCTGCCAGATGTAATCTGGTCCCTGGGAAAGGCAAGGAAAGGATGTAGCCCTCTAGAGCAGGTTAGGATTTGACAAACAGAATAGGCTTCTTTCATCATTGAAGAACTTCTTTACTGAAAGGGTTGTTAGGCACTGGAACAGGCTGCCCAGGGAGGTGGTGGAGTCACCATCCCTGGAAGTCTTTAAAAGACGTTTAAATGTAGAGCTTAAGGATATGGTTTAGTGGGGACTGTTAGTGTTAGGTTAGAGGTTGGACTCGATGATCTTGAGGTCTCTTCCAACCTAGAAATTCTGTGTGATTCTGTGATCATGAAATTGCCCCATTCCATCTGAAATATTTCGTAAAACACAAAAACAACCATTACAGCTTTGCTTGGAGCTGTGCTGCTAACTAGGTATGCCAGTCTCCTCGGGTGTTTGTGTGCTGCCACGTGTCACTGCCGCATGAGGGAAGAACTGATAGCAACTGGATGCTCTACCAGGAAAAATCACATAATGAGCCAACCCCGCAGCATTGTCTTTGTACAGCCTCTGGCCAATTTCTGCTTAAAAACCCTCTCCAGCTCCCCCACATGCAGACTGGAGCAGTCTGACCCCATCAGCCCTTGCTGCCTTGGGAAGCCCTTGTTCCTGCTGCACGCGATGCTGGTTGCTGGACAGGTCCTCACTGCCACTCCAGGATGGAGAGAGGTGGAGGAGCAGAGCAGGGGGGTTGGGTATCCTGAAGCAGCATCCTGGAGAGCCAAAAGCATGGCAGGGCTGGTACTCAACACCTGTACCGCCCCTCCTCCATGCAACCTGCAGGTGCAGGAGGATATGTGCAGCCCTATGTGCTGCTGGAGGAGCAGCCATGAAGTGCCCCCGCAGTGAGGCAGGATGGCATGGGCTTGGTGGGGCTCCAAGCAGATGGGCTAGGGCATCTGCTTTGTCCCCCCAACCCTGAAGCCATAACTCAGGGTTTCCTCCCCTGCCCTCAGCTCCAGCAAGGGCTGTGTGGGGTGTGCAGGCAGGCAGAGGAAGAGCTGCAAGACTGCAGTGAGCAGGGAAGGAGCACAGCAGCTCCCAGCCAGGGCTGAGCCAGCACAGTGCCGCACCTGGGTGTAGGTGGGCATGGGCTGGCCAGATCCCTTTCCTCAGCCTGGTGCTCCGATGCACCACAGCACACCTTGTGTCTAAAGCCTTGAGGATGGATGTGCTTTTTTTATGCTCTGCTTCCCTGATCTGCAACATTTGGCTTTGCATCAGGCTAGTCTGACTGGCACTTGGGAAGGCATGCAGTCCCTGTGCTTTGCTGTCCCACAACGGCTCTCACACTCGTGGAGAATCCCATGCATCCCTGCTGCCTCATCCATAGCACCAAAACTGGCATGTGGAGGTGGCCAACACACCTTGCATGTGTACAGCTGCTCTACAGTCTTGGGCAGGGAAGGACACCGGTCTTTAAGGGCCTGCACCCATGGGCTGGGGGGCTTCCCAGCTCAGACCAAGCAACCAGGAGCTCATCCCCCAGCGTGCAGTGGGGTGTAGGAGTCTTTCTCACTTCTACCTACATATGGGGCAGGGATGGGACTGCAGAGCTGCCACACAGAGTTGGGAGCAGAGGCTGCGGTGGGGACATGTGCTGGGGCCACACAAACCTTTGCTCCTGCCTGGCCACCAGCTTTGGAGTGCAGAACTGGTGGGTTTGTTCCCATGGTGGCGTGCAGAGATTATAGCAACTGAAGGTGCCCCTTGCCTTGAGCTCATCCTCCCGCCACCGCCCTGGGAACGTCTCAAGAACATGGCCAGGCCTCTGCAGCCCAGGTTGCACAATCCCAAGTCCTTTGTCCTTTGCTTATCTGACTTAGTGAGGAGGAAAAGATAACCAGGCATCTTCAGCGCCCTGCAATCGAGTGTGTTTCTCAGGCTCGTAACTCCTCTTATCAGGTTCAATCTCTTACCACGGCGAGGTTTCCCATGCACCTTTGTACTCCAAGAATGCTCCCAGGTCTGCTTTCAGACTTGTGCAAAGTCTTTACAGCGTGCGCTTTCTCCAAAACACCTAATCCTTAATTGCCTAATTATGGACGAGTCTCCCGTGTGTGTGCACGATGACAGCTGGGTGCGGCTGTGGGGCTGTGGGAAGGGTTCAGCTTGCACAAGCACTGCTGCAGCCCCAAGTCTCTTGGGCTGGGGCAGGAGGCTGTGGTGAAGGATCTGCCTTGGTGACACAGAAGGACCCAGGCTGGAAACAGGTCCTGGAGGCAGGATACAGTGTAGGAACAGGCAGCTGGGGGGGGGGGGGGGGTACGGAGGGGACATTACCCATTGGTGCTCTGACACTGAAGCCCTGAGGGTTCCCAGGGCACCCACACAGGGGGACAGGTTGTTTGCAGCCAAACCAGGGCTGCATGGTCTGAGAAAGGGGAACAGGCACAGCTTCACACTGGGTTTGATCCTGCTCCATCCCAGCTTCCCAGGCTCTCCTGTGCCCCCGTCTCGCAGTGGGGGGAAGAGGGAGTGTCTCAGTGCAGACATCGGGACTGCAGGGCACTAGTGCCACTGTCATGGTGGGCTTGGAATACAACCTCACAGCCCTGGTGGCCTCTCTGTTTGGGGGGTGCACATGCCCCACCCCATGCCCCCATCCCTCCCAGCAGGTTCAGAGTCCCTGGGCTGTGGGCAGGATCTCTCAGCAGAGCATGCAGCCCTTTTCTTGGGTCTCTGGAACAAGACCACCCCCCTCCATTGCAGCACCTGAGTCTGAGGCCACAGGGTCCCTGCATGCTGTGCCCTACCTGGGGCACCCCACTGGCTCCACATCCCCCTGGGTGAAGCTGCCACTGGTTTTAGGGCACCAGCGCCCATGCTGTGCCCCAAGGCACAAGACATGGCCTTGCAGTGGGTCTGACAGAAGGGGGTCTCTCACATGCCAGTGGGCTCATGCCACCACCTCCGTCCTGGGGCCCTGGAGTCCATGGCAGTGGCTGGGGCAGGAGGCAGGGTTCCTGCAATGAGCATGTCTCTGGGCTGCAGGGAGCTGGCTCCCACTGCTGAGGGTGGCCTTGCTCAGCCAGGTGGAACTGATGCAGAAATAAGCAAAACTGGGGTCCTGCAGCATCCTTGCTCCCCCAGGCACAGCCATGTTCTCTGCGAGGATTTCTCAGGTGAGGTGTTGTTGTGGGGAAGCTACGGCTGTGCTTTGTGTTTATTTTGGGGTCATAAAGTCACAGAACCATAGAAAATCCTGAGTTGGAAGGGACCCACAAAGATCATCAGGTCCAACCCCGGTTCCACACAGGACCACCCAAAAAAATCAGACAATGTGTCTGAACATTGTCCAAATGCTTCTTGAACTTTGTAAGGCTCAGTGTCGTGCCCACATCCCTGGGCAGCCTGTTCAGTGCCCGACCACCTCTGGGTGCAAAACTTTTCCCTAACCCCCAGCCTGACCCTCCCCTGTCCCAGCTCCATGCCGTTCCCTTGGGTCCTGTTGCTGTCCCCAGGGAGCAGAGCTCAGCGCCTGCCCCTCTGCTCCCCTTGTGAGGGAGCTGCAGGCCGCCATGAGGCCTCCCCTCAGCCTGCTCTGCTTTGGGCTGAACAAACCGAGGGCCCTGAGCTCCTCACACGCCTTCCCCTCCAGACCCTTCACCATCCCTGTAGTCTTCCCTTGGAGGCTGTCTAGGAGGCTGGTGTCCTTCTCTTGTGGCACCCCAAGCTGCACACAGGGCCTGAGGTGAAGCCTGGCTCTGTCATCCCTGGGTGAGCAGGGCATGAGGGGGAGAGGTGAGCGAGAGGCAAAAGAGCTTTTTATTTTCAAGATGTTTTATAATGGGATTATTAGTTCCCAAGAGGTGTTTCTAATTGATTTGGTAAGGAATTGCTTTCATTTCTCCTCTGCAGAGTTGCAGTGGGAATCTAGCCTCTGGTGCAAACTGTCACAGATTTCATGAAACCACAGAGCTGACACCCGCCCCCCCCCCCCCCCAGCATGTTGGAAGGACACATCCGTCCCCCTGGCCCCACGCTCCCCCCACGTGCCATTTGCTCCATCTCTGACTGACTCAGCCCCTGCTTGGGGCTCAGGGTACAGTGTCGGGGTGATCTGCAGTGTGGCCCCACTGGAGCAACACTGCATGGGGAGAAAGAACTCCCTCCTTCCAAAAATGTCCCTTTTTCCCAGGAAAAACTTGTTTTTTTTTTTGTTTTTTTTTTTTTTTTGTTTTGTTTTGTTTTTTTGTTTTTTTTTTTTTGTTTGTTTGTTTGTTTGTTTGTTTTTGTTTGTTTTTTGTTTTTTGTTTTTTTTCCCCAAGGATCTGCCCTTTTCACACCATGGTTTTCCTGGTGGACACTGCCTGGCCAGCACCCTGCGCCTGGTGCCCAGCAGCCCTTTCACTGCGGTGAGGGGAGCACAGGCATCTTCAAAAGCCCTGCAAAGAATTTGGTGGGAGGGGGAGAGGGGGTTTTACAAGCTCCTATTCAAAAATGGTTACTTTGAAGTGATGTAGCTTTTTCAACCCTTTGAAGCACTACAATTAGGAGGGGGCTGGTGCGGGTGTAAGGCACAGCACTGGATGACTATGACGGCCTTTCTCTTTCCTGGGCTCTTAAGGGACGAACTTTTCCTCCCTGCCTGCCTCTTTCTCACAAGCCACCTACCAGGGGGGTGAGACTGGGGTGTCTGGGGAACTAGCAGGGAAGGAGAGGTCTCTGATCTGCTTCGCCCACTGGCAAGAGCCAGGGGGATTCTGCTGCAGGCAGCACCAGGGTGGATGGATGGAGCATGCCCAAAGGGAGTGCAGATTGCCAAGGGCATCGAGGCTGACTGTGCCCTCATGCTGCTGGGGCTGAGATGCTGCAAGGTTGGGAAGGGGCATCCGTGGTGTGGGAAGGTTTTCATGCAGCATCAGTGCTGGCTGCTGTCACTGTCACTGCGATTATGGTTGGATCCATCCCATTGGGGTCATGGAGGCCAATACAGTTTTGGTGCTTAAGAACAGAGCAGGCACCATGAATAGAATAGAGGAAAAGAGTATATTTTTGTCTGCATGTTATGAACTGAGACTGAAGGAAAGCAAGTGACTGCCCAGGGTTATCCAGGGTGACTGGTCTACGTGCTTGGGGCACATCCCATGGCTTGGCCTTCCCAGAGAGCTGGTCCCTGTGTGGCCTGGCTGAGGGCTCCCGTGCCATCAGGACACATGGGCTAGGGGGAGGCAGGGATGGGATGAGAGCTGCACTCCCTCCCCAGCCTCCCACTGGTGAACTCTGTCTTGGAGAAGCCCCCAGGAATGAGGATTCCCACACACACACACTATCCTCACTCCAAGCAACTCGAGGATCTTAGAACAGCCAGATGTTTCACCAGATGTGAAAATTTGTAGAAAATTAAAAACTGTTTTTTTTTTTTTGATTGTTTGGCTTTTTTCATTTTCAGGGAGACTGTATAGGGTGGCTCTGATGGGACAGGGTGGCCATTATAGGGTAGCCATTTAGCCTTGCTTTCTCCCACCAAAATTCCTGGTGTGTTGGTATGCAGGGACAAGCCAGCCAGGACCACTGGTGCCCCCTCCAGTGTGGCTGGCCCCCAACTAAGTCATTTCTGATCCTCAAAAGGGGCAGGTTGGAAGCCCCAGAGATGTGGCTGGAGAGCTGCAAGATGCCTTTTCCTTTTATTGTCTTAATTGATGCTGGGCAGGACGAATCCCCCCTGCCAAAATGAGTCATCCCAGAGCAGTGAGTGCAGCCTGCCCCATGTTCCCGGCTGCCAGGCATCCTGATGGATGGGAGTCAGCTCAGCCCTCGCTTCCGCTGCCCGGATCCAGTGACCCGCCATGCCCCGGCTGCGGGGACACGAGCGGTGAGAGCCTTCACCGAGCTGCCAAAAACGCTGTGGGTTTTGTGGCACTTTGGTTGTGATGGCAGCAATCCACCAGCTCGGCAGGAACACAGTCAGGGCATGCAGGGACAGCACATGGGACGTGTCCCCACGCAGTGCCCTGCAGTGACCCTGCCCAGGGGGGCCAGGGTGGTGCAGTGGAAGGGGATGTCACACATACCCCAGTGCCCAGTACACCCAGGCAGAGCAGGAGAGCTTACGGGGGTCATGAGCAGCGCTGACAGCTGTTAATGGTGTATTTTTAACCATAACAGCAGTAAGGGCCTCTTTGCCATTTGCATGCCCAGCAATGCAGCTGCCTCGTGGGAGAACAGCCCATCTCAGAGAGCAGCATTGCCTGACATGCATCAGGGAGGCAAAACCACTGCACCCCATACAGCTACACAGTCACTGGTGCAGTCCCCCAGCCTGGAATACCACCAAGGCTGGTCTCCAGCAGCAGCAGGACATGGTGGAGGAGCTGCTGGGAACAGGAGGCTGCACTGGTGCCATGCTCAGGGCAGGCAATCTGGTGCTGGTGCTGGTAATCACCTCCCGAATTCATGGGGTGCTCTTCCCCAGGTTGCAGCCCTGAGGGAATAGCAGCTCCTCAGTGAGGGTTGTTCCTGTGGCTGAGCACAGATCTCGCTCGTCACACTGGTGGATGATTGTTTATCTGCTGTCTCCTGTCCCTGCAGGCTGCTCCACACTGTGCGAGGAGAAGTCCAGCCGGACCTGTGATGCTGCCCAGCGCACTGAGACCACAGAGGGCGAGTGGCTGGAGCGGACAGATCCATGTGGGACAGCTGTGGGACTGGAGGAGGGCACGACCCTGCAGGTTGCTGCCATCCCCCCTGGGGTGCTGGACAAAGCTGAGCTCACTGACTTCTACTGCTGCACCCGCTGTGGGAAAGTGTTCTGGGAAGGGTCCCATTTTGGACGTGTTGTCTCTCAGTTTAAGGATGTTCTTGTTATCACGGGGGATGAGCAGAGCATCTACAAGCTGAGCTGAGGGGGACATGGGGCACAGGACAGCTTGGCAGTGGAACAGGGACCATGGGGATGCACTCCCCAGATATCCTGAGCAGGTTTGCATGGAGTGGGCTTTGGTTTGGGGGGGCGAGGCTAGAAGGTGTGCTCACATTTTGGGGTCCACGGTGGAGGGCGCTGTCCTATTTGCAGTGACAGAGTGATGGTTTTGGTGGTTTGCAACATGGACTCCATGACAGCATTAAATCAGAAGCATCTGGGGAAGGGATGTTCAGCTTTATTTCCGCCTCCCTCCAGGCTGGGCATGGCAAGAGGGTGGCTGAGCTCTCCAAAATGCCATGTGGGTGCTGCTGACTCTGTGGCACCCATTGGTCTGCAGCACCCTTACACCAGTGAGGTGTGTCCCCATCCAGCTGAGCCACATGCTGCTCTCCATGAGGAGGTCAATGGGGGGGGGGGGGGGGCAGCACCCTGTTCTGTGCCTTCCTGCCAGGTGCTGGGAGCCGGGAGCAGCATCCCTAACAGCAGCACATTGAGAAAGCTTCTCTGGTACCCAGCACGCTCCCCAGGCTGTGGGACTCATTCCACATGGCTCTGCATGATGCCACCATCTGTCCCCAGTCTCCCTCTTGCCCTGGCCCCATCACCTGAGGCTCTCCAAGCTGTTCCACGGACACACTGGGTGGGCACAGGCTGGGGGTGCTGAGCAATGCTGGGCAGCCACCAAAAACCCCTGTGGGTACACCAAGATGCCCTCTGGCACCTGCATCACCCTGCACCCCAGCAGAGCAGGATGGCTCCAGAGGGAGCTCCTGTGGGTGCAAGACACCTGGCCAGCTCTGTCAGCCCTGGGCAGCTCCATCAAGTAGCCCCCATGCCCAGGGCTCTGCGTGACATACACAGGAGTGGCAGTACAGCCTGTGGTCCCTCCATCACCAGGAGCCGGGGCTGCCAGCGGGACCACCCAGTGTCCAAAGGAGGCTGCAGGGGTCAGTGGAGGACACAGGCTCCCAGGTCGCAGCAGCAGTGAGGTGAGGAGCCCTCACAGCTTGGTCCTGTAACTCTGGGTACTGTTGGCTGGCATCTCCTGTCCCATGGACAGGCTAAGTGCACTCCACCCAGTAACAGAGGAGCATTTGCAACATTCCTCCCCTAATCCTAGTTAACTACCAGGCACTGATGTTATTGCTAACAGGGCCCGAGGGGCTCTTGGTTTAAGTGTGACATTTACAGACCGGTGAAATGCCTGCCCAGGCAGCTTACTCTGAAATGTTGACTTGCTTTCCCTCTCTGAGTGCTCTTGGCCATGCGGTGGGGAGGGCTCCTTCTCCACAGGAACATTTCACCCAGCACTTCTTGATCCCCACCTGAGCCCTGTGGCAAAGGGGCCCAAGGCAACTCCCTCTTGCCTCACAAAAACACTTCTTTCACCCCTCTTTCCATGAGCTCCTGCTGTGACATTAGCACAGGCACCTAACATCTCTTCTTGGCAGACCCTGCTGCACAGCAGCATGCTGGACATGCCACCCCAGTGAGCTCCTGCCACCACAGCTCAGCATCAGTATCAGGGGCTTCCCCCAGCTGCTGACATTTCCATTCCCATCCCCTTTGCATTGCCATGATGCAGCCGTTTTGCCCCAGTCCCAATTAGAAGACAGCAGAGGGGAGTGGGGCTGCCATGGTGCTGCCCACCAGGGTTCCCTGACCAAAACCATCCTGTTTTAGCAAAAGCTTCGCTCCCAGCCACCCCATTGCCTCCTTTCTGAAACGTGCCCTTCTGCAGCTGCTGGTGGCTCCTCCTGTAACCGCACCAGGCAGGTCGGCTGCTGGAGGCTGGCACAAGCAACCCTCCCCACACGTGCATCAACACCTCAAGCCATGCGGTGCATAGGGGATTATTTCTCCTATGGGATTAAGCTGCCTTGTTCTCAGTCATCATCATTTATCCATTGATTCTTTCAGTTTCCCCACTCAGTTGCCTACATATTTTGCATAACCTAAAGGAATTGTGTTTCATTTCCTGGTTTTCCAGCCCTGAGCTCTGTCTAGGTGGTAGTGCATTTTTCTTAATTCCCTCTTTATCTGGAATTGGAATTTCATCTTCCCTTTTACCCCGAGGTCATTTTTGCCTGTTTCTGATACAAGTTTGGGACCAGGCAGTGGCAGCCAAGAAGAAGCTGTTTTGTTAAACTGACATCTTTAATGGGCACTCCTGGCCTGGTGCACTGGCAACTGTTTGCAGGGCTTCTAGTGCTGGAAAATCAGTTAGTGGAGGGACTAAATATGCACTCATGGGTGATGATACTGTGAGCTGGAGACAAATAACCTGTTTTTCCATGGCCTGGGCCAGTCGCCATCATTGGGACAAAATGAACTCGTCCTGGGCCTTCCGGATGAGCTCCAGTATTGAATACCCTGTCAGCACAGGGCTTTGTGCACTAGGAAGTGATCATCTACCCCTTGGGAAAGTCTGAGTGGTTTTGTTACTGTGCCAATGACACCACAACCTCAGGCATCACCCCCCTCCCTGCAGATGACATTACCTATGATAAGAGGTGTTCCTCCTAGATGTTGCTGGCAGATGGTTGAAAAATGCCTGTCCCCTATTCCCAAAGACAGCATTCAAAGCAATTGTGTTCACTCTGAGCAGTTGAGGTTCCTCCAACCTGAGTTGTCCCTGGTGCTGTGGCAGGACTGTGGCCTTGCCTGGACAGGGACACACACAGACAGAGGTGCTCTCAGTGTGCCAGCTGCACTCCCAGCAGCATGGACCATCATCCATGTTCTCTCATCCACCTTTGCCTCCAGCTCTGAAGCACTGGCTCTTGATCAGACCTTTCCCTCTCCATCCCTTTCCCATAGGCAGGAAGGAGATCTGGGAAAGTTGCAAACAGGGTCACCACTGAGGCACCCCCAGCACCCACCTGGGTCATCCCTGATCCACATCCACCCCCTTGAGGATGTCCTGCTGCTGTCAGCCTTGGGCTGCTGTGCTGACAGCTTCAGCCTGATGGATCTGAACAGTTGAGCTGTTTGGGGGTTTCTCCATTTGTCCCTGTGGGTCCAAGAGTTGTATTTGATACCCAGAAATGGCGTAGCACTGGTCATATCCTTATGCTCACCCACTTCTGATGCCAGTACTCTGCAGAACAGTCATCAGCTCAGCAACACAAGCCACCTCCTCCACGAATGCTCCTAGCTCATGCCTTGCCATGTCCTTCTGGGCAACCAGACCCCACAGCTCCTCTGGAGGCGTAGGGACTCTGTGGAGAATCCTTAGAGCAGAGGGAGGACAAAGCTTGTGCTTCACCCACAAGACAACAGCATCTCTATGCAGACTTGCACATGTCAGCATCCTGCCACAGTTCAAGGAGGCTCTTGGGGTTTGCTCCATGAGGGCAGAAAATGGGAACGGAATACAGCAAGACCGCCCCCAGCCTCAGTGGTGAGCAACACATCTACCCCCTCGTGGGTAATTGTGTAATGACGTGAACCCCACTGGACCAAGGTAGGGGGAAATTTCTGAGTCATACAAACACCTGAGTCATCCCATCCCCAGACGGCAGTGAGGAGGCTGGAGCTGCACCTATGAGCGCTGAGCCTAACGAGTTATGTTTTCAGACAGATTGTGGGCATTTTGGTGCTTTGTTTACTGGATTTTTCTGAGCCATGGCTTCATGCCTGTCTACCTGACCTTTGCACTGAAGACAGCTGGCTGGAGGGACAGCAGAGCAGCTGACCCTGTCCCTAGCCCTGGAGATGGCTCCTGGCCACACAGCTCTCTGGAAGGGGCCCCTCTGGTCACTGGGGACAGCAGGGTTGCCTCCTGGGCACCTCTAGAAGTTCATCACCCTGATGCCTCCACCCTGGCAGTCAGTTTCACCACAGCAGGATCTGGTTTTGGCCAGGAGCAGCCCAGGGCAGTCTTTGCATGTGGGCATGGCACAAAATGACTCCCGTGGGTCTGCTCCAGCTCAGAACTCCAGGGGATGTGAGGCAGTGGCTGAGACCCAGGTATACCCATGTGTGCTCAGCTACAGCACCTCTCCCTTCTGCTGCTTGAAGAGGAGGATGTGGAGATGCCATCTGTGCAGCAAGGTTATCTCCAGGCATAGACACAGTCAACATCAAACTCCAAGTCAGACCAGCCTTGAGCAGCATCCAGGAAGTAATAAATTGTCCGGTTTTCAATGGTGGATACACATCAAAGAGAATTAAACCAGCTTTTTAATCAGCCTGCAATATTGTTTCCCTATCTGGTTTCTTTAAAAAAATAAAAAAATAAATCCCATTGTCTGTGCCATACTAATGTTTAACATTTATTAGGGCAGTAATGTGTCCTTCATGTTTTTATGGGGCTGTTTGATCATGTGTTTGAAGGGCAGCTCAGGCAGCCCCTGCAGGGATACAGGCTCTGGGTGGCCTGGACGTGCCAAAAGCCGCCCGATCCCCGGGACACTGCACGTACACCCCAGATCTGCCTCTGCACTGCATGTCATGATCATGGAGAATGCTGTCATAAAGTGGTGCTAAGGAAGAATGTTGTTGGTTTTTTTTGTGCTGTCAAAGAAGGGCCTAGGCTGGATGAGAACACTGGAAAAAATGTGGTTTCCTTGGTGGCATTTAGCAGCATCTCAGAAAGTGTTCACCTGTTTCAGCATCTCCTGCTGAAACGCCCGAGTCCTTCTGCACCTGCTGGGAGTGGGAATGCCGGCACTCCCCCCTCCCCCGGGGCCAGGAGCATTTTGGGGTGCAGGAGCAGCCACCAGATGGCCCATGAGTGCTGCCAGCCCTGACCCCGGGCTTTTCTGTTCAGTTCTGGGGTGGCTCCAACTGCCACGGCCCCACAGAGCCCCAGGAACTCACACGCTGCATCGGATATCAGCCCAGTTCCTCTCCTCGCCTTGTGTATTTCTCACATATCCTTCGGAGTTTGATGGGGACAAGGTGTTTGGCACTTGGGCCAGTTTTAGTTTACAAATGAATATATCAACATTGTTCCTCATCAGGCAGGAATGTGCTTCCCTCCCTTCTCCCCCACCTTATCCCCATCCCCTTCCGAGCAAACTTCCTTCCTTGTGTAATCTGGATCGGAAACCTTGCCGCATGTTTGACCAGCTCAGAGGAATCAGCTCCGCTTTCCCTGGTGTGATTTCATGGCTTCAGCCAGGGCCAGTCCATCCCAGCACACGGCAGGATGAGGGCTGGGGCTGAGCCACTCATCCTCAGGGCCGAGGCTCCCTCCAAGCGGGCGCTGCGGAGCCAGATGCTCTGACCAAGCTCCCAGTTGCTCGGCTGCCGTTTTCAAACAAACCAGCACATTTCTGGGCACAGACCCAGCCTTGGCGAGCCTGAGGTTGGCTGCAGGCTCAGGGCATTTTGCTGCCCTGTGCTGCTGAAATGCTGCTCCCACGGGCTGGGGGCAGCTCTGGCTGGGGGGCAGCAGAGGGGAGAAGTGTCAGTGCCATGTGAGAGGGATATTTGCATCAGGAAGATGTCTGCTCCCTGGGAAATATCCTGGGACCAGTCCTTTCTCATCAGCCTGCCAATATGTGGGCATGACTTTCAGGCAAATGAACTCCCATCCTCTAGCGTGTCTCACTCTATGTCCTGCAGAGAGTTACAGCTGTGTCACCCCTGAGCCTGCCCTGACCCTAGAAATGTCCCCACAGAGCAGTCACTGGGTGCCCATGCCAGGCTCAACAGGCTGTACCACATCTCCTGGTGGAATGGAGTGGTGGGAGCTGTGTGCTGATGGCCCCTGATCCTTGCATCCACTGCAAAGGAGCAGGCACGCAGAGTGACGGCTGTCTCTGGAGACACGGTCTCAAGCACAGTTTGGTTCGAGCATGCGCAGCTGCAGCAGGGACATCAGCCAAGGCAATGCCACGGGGTGGCCCGCAGGGCCAGCAGCTGGAGAGCCCTGTGTGCAGCCAAGGGCAGGAGCAGCAGCAGCTCTCCACCTCCGAGTGTGTCAAATTTGGTGGCTGTTTGCCTGAACAGCATTTTCCTGCTGTCAGATATGTGGAGGCTGTAGGCTTTAGGCGGGGTTTGGACATCGTAAGTGCTGCAGCATTCCCAGCAGGATAAGACCCAGCACTGAGGAAGGCTGATAAGACAGGGATTGAAACCACTGCATGGGCTGAAGGCCAAGCCAGAGTGGAACAGACGAGTCTGCACAGCCCTGTACAAGTCACTGCAGACCCTGAGGGGCATCGAGGTCCTGCTGCATAGGGCCACCTTGCAGGGCTGCTCCCTGGGTGCACCCCCCCAAAGACAATGAGCACACACGGGACTGTGACCATGCTCGAGATGTGCTCAGGTTTTAGACCCTGTTTATCATGGGCTGGGTGGGAGGAACCATGTGGAGCATCCCAGCTGCCACCCATGGGAAGCAGCAGGTCCCCAGCACACATCCCTGCGATGCCCCCCATGGTGTGGGTGTCCCAGGGGGACCCAGGATGCCTGGATCCTTCTCTTGTCCCCAGGCTTCCCAGTCACTGAACTGCAGCAGCTGCAGGGGACCTGCACACTTGTTCTTGCCACACAAGCCAAAGGTTCCTCTGCAAACCTCAGCTTCTTCAAGATCTCCCTGCCTGCAGTACTGGCAGAGGGATTGGCCCAGCCTGGGGCACTTTTTGGGTGTTGAAGGCTGACAGTGTGTGATGTGCCCATGTTACCCAGCTGGTATGGGTGCGAGGCTGCTCCCAAAGCCATCGCCCCACATGCTCCTGCTGTGAGCAGAGGAGGATTCGCGGCAATTCCCTGAGCACTCTCTTCCCTGCAGCTCCCTCCCAGGTTTGGGAAGCAGCCTCCCCGGGAAGGGCTCTCCTCCTCCCACCCGGGCTTCCAAAGATGCAGCTATGGGAGGGAGAATGTTCCCAAAACCACGCTGCAAACAAGCAGCCTCAGCACCCAGCACAGGGCTCCCTTCCCTCCCCACGTCCTCTCAGCCAGGCAGGGAGCGCTGGCAGAGCTGTGGCTCTGGTGACCCATGATGGGGACACAACACCAGCCTGGCCAGCCCTGGGCTGCGGCAGTTCCTGCACTGCCTTTGAGCTTCCTCCCAGCTCGCAGCAAGCCGAGAGTGTGCGCAGGCTGATTTCTCTCTTGCGCGCGCCTTTTGCTGGGTCTCTGTGCTGGGAAGAAAAGCTCTGGTCTTTCCCACGCTCTCCGACACATTTTAATGAATTAAGTGGGGGCACGCCCCCTCGCCGCCTGCCCCGGATCCGTCCCCCTGGCTCTCCGACTCCCTTCAAGGAGGCCTCCGGGGGTGGCTGGACTCTCGCTGCCTGTCCGCCTCGCCCGAAGGATGGGCACTGCCTGCTCGGCATTTTTGGAGAGGGCTCCAGCGTACCCAGCCCATAGTGCTGAGCCTGGTGTGGCGGTTCTGAGCCTGCAGTGCCACCAGGAAAGCAAATGGAGGGGAGGCAGCAGTCCCTGCCCATCTCGCCCCAGACTCTCCTAAGCAGGGGGAAATTCAGTCGTCACGTCTCACGCCTCTGCGTTTCTCTGCGTGACCGTTCGCTAAATGCGTTACAGCACCGGGCTGCTTCTCCCCTCCTCCCCCAACCAGCAGCAGCGCCGGCGCTCTCTGCGGCTTCCCCTGTTCTCAGAAAGGAGCAGATAAATCACAGGGTGGGACTACTGGTTTTGCAAGGCACTGCTGAGTGCTGGGCGAAGAGGAATGCCTCTCGGGGCCTTCCAGCACACTCGCCGTGGCCCGTCTGGCCACCTGAAACCCAAAGCGGTGTCAGAAGGCTGGCCTGGCTTGCTGAGGGCCGCAGCAATGCACCCGGCTCGTCTCCGGTTACAAAACCAAAACACAAATTGGAGCTGAAATGCACGCTTTCAAAATTGCCTTTTTCTTTTTTTTTTTTTTTATTTTTCCTCTTTCCCTGGCCCCGTTCCCAGGCAGAGTCCTGCCCCCACCTGCCAAAGAGGGATATTTGCATGACTGGGTCCCTGCCCGGGTTGTTATTTTTCTCACCAGTGTCACTGGCAAATGCAGAGCTGCTTGTGAGGACGTAGCTCTGGCCGAGTCCCAGACCGGGAGGTGTGAGCAATTCTCAGTATCCCACGGCTCACTAAAGTGCTAGAGCACTGACAACTTGCAGGATTTGGCCCATAGCAGATGCTAAGCCAGTTTGCACCAAATCAGCTGCCCTGGGATATTTAGGAGTGGAAAGGACAGGGTGAGCTGGCGCCAGCAGAGACCCCACACCAGACTTCCTCTGCTCAGAGTGGAGAGGAGGGAGCCCCGTGGTGCTGGAGCTGGGGGACCACAGCCCTCGCGGTGGGGACAGACGGACACCAGCTGCAGGCACCCCAGGGGATGGTGACCCTTGTTTAGTGACCCTGGTCCACAACTGCAAGCCAAGTGTCCTGGGTGTCACAATCCTGCCATTGTAGCCGCGGCACCGTTCAACTCAGGCAGAAGCAGCCTCACGAGCAGATGCTTTCCCTTTGCTGGGCTCTTGAGTGGGGCAGCTTCCATGGCCATGCAGCTCCAGCCTTCCCCGGGGGTTGCGCTGCCGGGGCCACTCACTTTGCCAGGCTGTGACAGGACCTCAGTGCAGCTCGGGGTGCGGGGCAGCCACAATCCCCTGTGAACCGTAGCGGCTCCAGGCACGTCCCTCCATTCACCCCAGATAGAGGAGGCCAAGGATTGCCACTCGTGTCCCCCACTGCCACCACAGCTGGGGCGATGTGGGGCAGGGCCACTGCCTCCATCCTTGGAGGGGGGAGGGAGGGGGAAGTCTCCTCACTGCTGTCATGGGACAGATGTGACTCAAAAGCCCTGAGGCCACCACTGTGTCCTGTGCCAGGGGATGGTGGTGCCCACCAGGGCCATGCATGCAGCAGTGAGGTGTGCCTGCCAGTGCTGTGGGGGCTCCACATCCCAGTGGTACAGGAGATATCCTGAGAAAAGGGACACAGGACACCAAAAAGGGAGGGGGGGGGGGGGGGGGGTGGCTGCAGCCCTACTGCAGCAGCAGCTACTGTGCTGTCCCAGCACCACCACCTCAACTGTGATCACATCAAAACCCTCAGTTTTGTGTTGCACTTCCATATGGCACCTTTATATAGAGCGATGCACCTCAATGCACTCGCATTCAAAAGATGTGACTGGGAGAGCTCTGGATAGAGGAAATCAAATGGTGTGGAGTGGAGATAGGACTGAGGATGGGATGGTGATAGATTTGAGACAGGGATTAGGATGGGCATGGAAATGGGGATTAAGATGGGAATGGGATGGGATGGAAATGGAAGTGGGAGTGGGAGAGGGATTGAGCTGGGCATGATGTGGGGGTGATACAGGGGGATGGTATGGGAATGGGATGAAGATGGGAATGAGGATGCGGTTGAGATGGAGATGGGATAGGGATGGGGATGGGATGGTGACAGAGATGGGGGTGGGCACAGGCATGGAATGAGGTTTGAAATGGGGATAGGGTTGGGAAGAACTGGCTGCAAAGAACAGACCTAGAGGAGTGGTCCCTTATGGAAGCTGTCGGTCCCTTACATCGGAGTCAGGCAGGGCCGTGCTCACTTCAGTGCTGGCCTTGACTTCTGCTGCCAAGCCAAGAGCTGCTTTCACTGGCTGGGTGAGCCAGTGGCATCGCTGCTGCCTCGCAGCCCCCATCAGCCTGGGTCACCTGCCTCCAACAGACAAGCCAGACCCAGTGAGGGAACAAGCAGAGCACCAGCCCCAGTCCGCCCAGCCCCAGGGAAAAGCCACGGGAAAACACCATGGGGCAGCTCATGCCCCGAGCTCACAGTGCAATCCATCCAAGAGCTCTCACTTGATCTGGGCAGGATTTGGCAGCTGGCTGATTTGTCCCTTTCCACCCCCAAAGCAACATGCCAGCAAGGCCAGGTGAGAGCCGGCGTGCTGGCATCTGCTGGCCAGCTGCGGGGGCCCTTGGCACAGCACGGGGCTGCCATCGCCGTGTTTTATGGCACGCTCCTTCCTCTCCTCACGCACTTCCCGCCCTGCTCCAGCCGACCAAACGCCCCATGGAGGCGGATGTGCTGTCCCGGGGGGCGCGGGGTCCCGGGGCAGGGTCTCTGCTTTGCACCAGCCTTTGCCATTTGTTCTTCCCCGGGCCAAATGGGCGCCGGGGGGGCTCCATCCTTCCCAGCGCCGTGGTGCACCATCCTCAGTCCCCAGCAGTGCACGAGGCTGGGGGCAGCAGGCGGGAGGCCCCGAGTGCCCCAGCACCGGCCTCGCCTGCACGTTTTTGCCCGATGAGCTGATTTTGTATCCACGCTCCTGCCTCCCCGCAGCGGCCGCACCGCACAGCGCTCCCGCACCAGGAGACCCCAGGGACCGAGTGAGCGGCACCGAGCCTCCCGGGGCCGGCTGCACCCAGCGGAGCCCGCGGCAGGGGCGCCCCGCGTCTGCCCGCACCCCGCTCCCGCTCCCGGCCCCGCAAATCCTCGCGCAGCTCCCGCAGGCTCGGCACGGAGCCCCCGCCTCGGCCGCGGGTGCCCCCTGCCTGCGGCCAGCACGGCCCCGCCGAGCCGAGCCGAGCCGGGGCAAAGCGAGGCGGGCCGGGGTGTGCTGAGCCGGGCCGGGCCGAGCCGAGCAGAGCCGGGCTGTGCTGTGCTGTGCTGAGCCGGGCCGGGCCGGGCCGGGCCCAACAAAGCGGGATAAGCGAGGGAAGGCTCCGTGCCGCCGGGCCGGGTTACTCCGGGCCGAGCCGGGCCGAGCCGAGCCGGCTGCAGCCCGGAGGCACGGGGCCGGGCCGTGCCCGCGGGGGGGTCGGGTCGGGTCCGGGCCGTTCCGGGCCGGGGGAGCCCCGGGCCAGCCCCTCCCCCCCGCAGCTCGGCAGTGGGGGAAGGGCTCTCCCCGCCCCCCCCGCGCGGCCGCTCCAATGGGCGAGCTGGCGGCGCGCCCCGCCCCCCTCCCGCCGGGCCGTGCTATTGTTATGCAAATAAAAGGGGGGGTAAAAGGCGCGGCGCGGGGCCGGCTCCGCTCCAGAGAGGCCCGGGCGCGGCGGCGGCGGCGGCGGCTGCGGGGCGCGGAGCGGCGCGAGGCAGCGCGGAGCGGCGGCCAGGACCCGCCGCAGCCCGGCCCCGCATGCCCGGCCGCGCGGGGTAGCGGCGGCCCGGCCCAGGCGGCGGCGGCGCCGTCCATGCGGGGCGTGAGGCGAGCGGGGCCGGCGGCAGCATGAGCCAGAGCGAGGTGTCGCCGTGCGCGGCGCCGCCGAGCCAGCGCGTCTTCCAGGAGGCGGTGCGGCGCGGCAACACCAAGGAGCTGCAGTCGCTGCTGCAGAACATGACGAACTGCGAGTTCAACGTGAACTCCTTCGGGCCCGAGGGGCAGACGGCGCTGCACCAGTCCGTCATCGACGGCAACCTGGAGCTCGTCAAGCTGCTCGTCAAGTTCGGCGCCGACATCCGCCTGGCCAACCGCGACGGCTGGAGCGCGCTGCACATCGCCGCCTTCGGGGGCCACCAGGACATCGTCCTCTACCTGATCACCAAGGCCAAATACTCCGCCGGCGCCCGGTGATGCCGCGGGGCCGCCCCGCCGCCTTCCTGACATGTCAAAGCTGCTCGGACTCCGTGGTTTTTGTGGTTTGGTTGTTTTTTTTTTTGATTTTTTTTTTTTTTTGTGTGTGTGTGTTTTTTGTTTGTTTGTTTTTTGGCAAAGAAATTTGGGGCCCCGCAAAGATTTACTGAAAGCAAACAAACAAACACACCGCCATTTACCTGCTTCTAATTTTGTTTTTCTTCCAAGGGTTGTTTTCCTACTGTAATTTTTTTTTCCATCTACCTCGGCTGCACTCACAGTATTCACGGTTTCAGTTTGACATCTGGTCAGATGCTTTAAAACGGTTGTTTCCCCCCCCTCCCCCCGCCCCTCCCTCCCCGGTAATATTTAATCCTTTCTCCCCTCTCCTCTAACACCCGTGGTGGCCTGTCCCTCGATTTTAAAGTATTCTGGCTCAGAAACGAATTCATTTCAACACCTCCCCAGATGCACCCACGTCGCCGGGCGGTGCTTTCCCCCGAGCCAGCTCCGACCACGCCGGGAGTCGGCGCCAGCGGCCGGGCAGGTGGCTCCCGGCAGCCGCCGGCCCCGTCCCTGCCCCGGAGGGGGACGCGCGTCTCCTCCGGCAGGCTTCGCCCAGTGTCTTCCTACTGCTCGGTTTCATTTTTTGTTCTGTTTTGTTTTTTTTTTTTTTGAGGCAACTCCATTGGAATATGACAGACTTGGTTTTCTCGCCCTGCCTGATTGCTTTTTGTGTGTGTGCTGGGTTTTCTGTTTTTTTTCTCTTTTTTGTGGGTGTCCGAAGAAAGTCTGCATCCTCAGCCGATTCTTGAATCCATTCAGCACACGTGAGATCACAGGAAAAGACGTTGAATCCTTCCTTCTGGTTTTGTGTGTGAAGGGAGGATTAGTAAACCCTGAACTTTTTTTCATATTAAAAAAAAAAGTGAAATAAACTCTAGAGGCAGAGGATTTGCTTTTGCACAGAAAAGGGGCGCGAGCGCTCTCTGCTGCCTAGAGAGATGCCTGAAAACTACTGAGAAATAGTTTGGGAACTTTTTTCTTTTGGTGAAACTTGGATAACACTTCTCAATGCAGAATGATTCACTTGATGTATGTAGAGTCACCTGCCTTTTATACTATATATATATGTCTAAGTATATATATATTTATAAAAGAAAGGGAGGAAGAAGAGAAAGCCACCCTAAGCCGCATTTTGAAGTGACTGCACGTATAATCGCAATGCTGCTTTTTATTGCTATGGCACAAGAACATCCATTTGGAAAATGCGGAAAATTTCAGAAGTCTCCTCTCTCCCCCTGGTCTTTCATCCCTCTTCTGTTTGTCTGCACTAAAACCAACCATATCACTGCCATCTCCCTGCTCTTTCCTCTCTTACTCCCTTTATCCAAACCATTACAATTAAAAATAGTTACCTGCTGTTTTTTTTGGGTTGTGTCTTAACTATTTATCATGTATGTGTATATATTTGTGGGTGAAGTTTGTGAGCCTGGTTTTTGTTTGAAGCTGGTGGTGAGTGTTTCAAAATATGGTTTGGGAAATATGCTTTTTTTTCCTAGTCTCAAAACTAAAGCCTTGAGTCTGCCATTATTATTTCCCATTGCACTGAATATTCTGCTTTGTCTCTGATGGTTTCACCTGCAGTTTTTGTTTCTTCCACTTCAACAATTTGGGATAAGTAAAAAGCTCCAGATTCAAAGAAGAAAAAGGAAAAAATCCCTGTTGCAAGTGTCTACTGTCAATGCTGTAACTTGCAAGGAACTGCTTAGCTGAAGTCTTTTCTGTGAGCCTTGAAGGTGGTGTCCAGCACTTCCACTGGTGCTTCTGTGTAATAGTTACAGGGTGGGAACAATATCTTTTCTAGCGAGGTTTTATTGTTGTTACCAGATGGTTGCACATTTTTTGACTAAATGGATTTGCCACATTGAAATGTCATAACATTTATGACATAATATTAAAAAAGTGTATTTTAAAGCCAAGTTCTAGATGGATTTTTAAAAAGAAATCTTGGTTATAAACCCAGTCTAAAGGGAGCTCTGTCCAGTGTTGTAAAGACAACATGATGTAACCCATATTTATATTTTTATAAAATACCTATTAAGACTGTGAATCTCCTGTGTGAATTGCTGAGTGAGTTTAAGAAAAGTATTGTTCCTTTCCAGCTTCCTGGAGCTTTAGACACGCTGAGATTTTGGAAATTGTATGTCGGGGAAGGGGGTTTGCTCTGAAATTGTGAGTTGATGTATTTTTACATCCCTTTGTATTTTACTGAAAAGCTGCTGCCCTTCTTAGTCCCTAGAGTTTCAATTTTCTATGCAACCCCCACACCCCGTCTCTCTTTATCTTGAGAAGTAAAAGGGATGCAGATTGATTCAAATTGAAATGAGGGTCCCCCCGCCCCCCTTGTTGGCTCATAGTGCTGCTGACCCTTCACGCCAAAACGGGGAGTACAAGAAAAGAGGCAGGTGGGGGAGGCTCTTTCGTGCATGACTGGTCACCTTATGGCAGTCATCTTTTTAATTATTATTATTATTTTTGTAAGAAGAATATATTGATAATGTCAGTGAAATAAGCAGACATTGAAGCTGATGCACAGATTGCTCCAGAAAGGAGTTTTTCTGTAGATTTTTCTTTAGATGCGAATACCTTTTTTAATTATGTTAATTAATGTTAAGAATTTTTAGGCTTATATTGAAGCTGTATGTGGGTCACTATATGATCATTTCTAACTGGATAAAGTCTGTACAGTACAGCATATTCCTGAGTGTATGATATAGACATGTAGCCCCAGAGTGCGAAATTTATAAATAAATTTTTCATTGATCTTTTTATAAAAAAAAAAAATGTCTTTTGTTTCTTTCCCATGCATGGGGTTGTGTGGCAGCTGTGATGGGGGTGATGGGTTCCTGGCTCTCCCTTTAAGCTGCTGTGTTCTCCTTGGGGCCCACAAGGTAACTGTGACCTGCACTGGCAGCGCTGCACCTGGGATTTGATGATCCCTGAAGAACACTTGCGGGGCTGGTGGGTTGGGGACTGTGTGTCCGGGGCTCTGATGGTTTCTCCATCCTAGCCTCAGTAGTAGCTGAGGGTGTTGGCTCAGGGTACAGCCAGGCCAAGTGCTTGGGGTTTGGGCCTCAAAAGCAGCCCCTGCCCTGGGGGAGTGAGGCATGAGCTCCCTGTGCCCCAGCTTGCATTGGCTCCCCTGGATCAGTGGTTTTGGGGTCTGTAGCCTCAGCCTGGCAGGTTAAGTATCCGGAAACCCTCCTAGGCTTCTTTACTGCCCTCAGTGAGGCGGGTGAGGTGGCCTGGTTCCCTCCCAGCCTATGCTGGGCCTCTGGGCTGTGACAATGGGGCCATCGGCATCCAGGCACTGCCATCAGACCAGCGTTGACTCCAGCAGCCCCCCGTGGGATGAGAGGCAGCATCACCAAAGGTGTCCCCAGTCTTCTCCCGTAGACCAGGGCAGACTGAGCCCTGCACCTTTGGAGGCACCTGGGGCAGGATTCAGCTGCACAGGGAAGTGGGAAAAACAGCAGCAGCCCCATGCCTGTATCATTGGGGGCAGGGCGCAGCAAGCCTCCAACACCAGGTTAATTTAGGGACCATGCTCTTTCCATACAGATAATTGTAACAGCTCTGGCAATGTCCAGAAATCGTCTAGAAACATGTGCCATGCCCAGCCTGATGTTGGGTGCAGGCTCTTGGGGACTCCAAAAGCAATGTCCTGCAAATGTCAGCCTTCCTGAACCAGTTTGGTGCCACTTGGGTGCTGTGTGACATGGGCAAGGGACAGGGACCCACCCAGGTAAGGCACCACCAAAACACTGAAGCCCTCCTGGTGCTGGAGTGCTGCTGGCAGGATTCAAAATGTTCTGAGCCACGCTAACAGGCAAACCCTAATATCTTTCTGCTCCCAGGTACTTTCTGGAGGCACAGAGCCCACTGGACAGGGTGAGCTTTAAGGTACTATGTAGCAGCTTAGATGTGAGTGTTCTTTGCTCGTACCGGATTGACAGAGCAAAACCTGAAGTGGGGTCATAGCTATGACTGTGGGCACTGCTTTGCTCTGCACAAGTCAGGTGCTGGGGCAGCCCCTGCAGTGAGACACGCATATACCCATTCCCCTGCCTGCCTTGCCATCCCCAACAGTGCCTCTGTTTGAGACAGTACTGCTGATAAAAAAAAAAAAAAAATCATTCAGGTGCTATTTTATTGCTGTGGAGAGAAACACAGGGCTTTTTATCATGCACCTTTTCCTGTGTCTTTTGGCCAGCCGGGCTGTGCAAACCATGAGCAAAAAGACTGTTTCCCAAGGAAATGCAGCATTTCTGTGTAAATCTCTTCCCATGGAGTGGGCTGGGGCCTCCAGGAGCCCCTTTGCAGGAGATTTTGGCTGGTCAGTGAATACAAATTGCATGCCCCTGGCTGCCAGCCCAGCACCCGCGAAGCCACACTGTGCCCTGGGCTCGCATGTGCACAGCCGCCCAGGTGGCCCCGAGCAGAGGGGAAGCGCCGAGGCCAAGGGTGCAGTGGAGCTATGTATGGGGACAGGGACAGAGTGGGGCTGGCGGTGCTCAACTCTGGGCTGAGCCCTCAGCCCCACTGCTGGCCCTGCTGCAGCACCCAGAGCTGCCCCGCTTTGCAGCACTCTCTAAAGAAACCCAGTCCAAGAAATCTAGGAACTCCAAAGGCTTTCTTTTTTTTTTTTTTTTTCCTTTTCTATTTTTGTTCCAATAAAACAAAAATATTGGAACATTTCGTGTCGTAAGCACATTCTTCTGGCATTTTTGTGTGTCCCTGGCTGCATGTTATTGTCCGCTGGCCACATTACGTAGGTTCTGTTGTTCCAAGAGAAACCAAAGAAAGAATTTGAACTTTCAAGTGCTTCCTGCCATTGTCTTTTGCTTTTGTTTGTGCTACTGACTCCAAAACAGATGGATCGGTCTCCCCTCCGTCCACAGGGGTGATGGGAAGTCAACACAGCCCAGAGAAGTTTGACAGCTTTGTCTTCTGTTATATTCCCCTTCATTCGTCAAGCCCAGACATCAGAGCTGAATCGAACAACGCATATGGATGGGGGGAAGGAGGTGGGATTTTATTTGAATTTCAGGGAGCTTAACACAGTAAGTAATGAATGAGAAAGAAAGACAGCGAGTGAGTGAGCGAGAGGGGACGGGCTGTAATCAAAATTCAGTACATTTTAAATAGATGCTTTGTTGGCATTTGTATGACTATGATAATGCCACAGCCTGGAGATCCGAATAGGAGTTACCTTTTTAAAAATCACAATTGACTACTGTTCAGTGCCGGGGAGGAGACGGCAGCTCAGTCTGGCTGGACAGGCTCTTCTCCCTTCCAGCTGAAACATTTTGCTACTTCTTGATGCCTTCTTCACTGGATCCCCACGAGTGGGGTGAAACCCCTTGGCATGAGCATAAAGTGGGTGGTAGGGTGGTCACAGCAAACTGCTGTCAGCAGTGTCAGAGGTCCAGAGCACATCAGATGGGACCCTATGTTCCACAGGATGCTTTTGTTTCAACCCATTTTACTGTGACCCAAAGCCTCTGTGGTGTTGGGTACTGGGACTGAGCCACGTTTGGCTGTGAAGGTCCAGGTCCCTCCTGGGCTGTGGCTAAAGCTGGCCATGCCATTCCTGCAGTGAGATCCCTGCAAGCCTCTGTGCCCTAAAATCACTGGCACTCTGAAGACCTCCATGCTTGTGGGCTGTGTTGTCCCAGGAGTGCTCCCAGGCCTGTGACAAGGTCTGGCAGGGCAGCGCATGGGTGGCCCCCACTTCTCCTTTACGGCAGCCGGCATCCCAGGGGATGACACTGCATCACCATGTCATGTGGGCAGGAGGAACATCTCTTCTCAGCAACTCTCCAGCTGCTCACTAGGGAGAGGTGACCTCTGAGTCTCACAAAGAAACAGATTTGGGTGTAATGTAGTTTTACATTGCATTTACAGGTTGCTTTGTGTTTTCAGGTTTCTCTTGCTGACTAATGAAATGCCCAAGCAGGGAAGCATCCTGGTTTGGTGTGCTCTGGGGAGGACAGTGGTTGGGGATTGGGTCTGTAGGTGGAGAACACTGCCCAGATTAAGGGATTACAGGAGGGATGGCCGGAGACAGTTGGAGGGACAAAGGATGGAGGGATAACTGTATAGGGATAAAAGGATTCATGGGAATGAATGAAGAGATAGAAGATGAGGGATGGAGACAAGGGGACAGGAGAATGGCTGAGGATGGAGATAGGGATGGGTGGAGGAATGGACAGAGGGAAAGCTGGGCAGTTGGGTGAGTGGCAGGATGGCGGACAATTTGCTTGGACTGTTGCTGGGACAACTGCTTGTGCTGGAAACTCTTCATTTGACCTGAGTCCAACACACGATGCCATTCTCTGGCTGCAGCTTTTTAGGAAGAGGTTCCTCAGAAGGGGCCTCCCCTTTCTGCGCCATTGGCACTCCCCGCCTGACCTGGGCAGCAGCTCTGGCAGCCCATGGATGCACAGAGTGGCACAGACACCTGGACATCAGCTGTTCACTGCAGCTCCTCCAGCACGGCTGTGCCAGCCCACAGCACCACAGCCAACACTGACACCTGCTCTCTAAGTCCATCTTTGTCCCTGGTCCAGCCCAACACCAACCAGCCCCATGCTGCACCCAGGCAGGCTGGATATGCACCCCATTGGCACCAGCCCTGCCCAGGTGTGGAGGATGCTGGGGACCCGGCAGCCTTGGATGTTGATGTGAGGGAGCCGTCAGGCTCCCGCACTGCATGGAGCAGAGCTGGGTTAACAAGCCAGGCAGGTATGTACAGCCCTGCTTGGCAATGTTGGCAAATGGCCGTCAGCTCTGCAAAGCATCAGTGGGGCACTGGACAGTGCAAAGCTGAGCCTTTGCATGGGGCCTGAATGAATTCTACAATTCTTGCTTTAAATGAATGCTACAACTGAGAAGAGCCACTGCCTGGAAAT